GTGCAAACATGCATGTGTGTGTCTGGTAGCACAGGGGGAAATATGATACAGTGGTGGGCACAATATGAAATAGCAACAGAAAGGGGCAAATCAGAGGGAAAACAAGAGTAGAGAACTTGAGCATTGGGGACAGCTCCTTTCCTAGCAGTCTGCACTCCCAGCCAGTAGAGCCAGATTCACATTTAGTTCTAATGAATCCAGGTCGGGGGAACTGGAAGGTAAGGGGCCAAGAATGGATTAGCAGGGTGCACTGGGATCAAGACTGATGTACCTTGCCAGACTTCTGTGTGAGGAGGCGCAAGGCATCCAGGGCTGGAATAACATGAGGGTGGAGGAGTAACTGTGAGTGTTGCAGGGCAAGATCCGAGTTTGCCAGAAATATGTGGGCTGGACCACAGTAGCATCGAGAGCTGCATTTTATCTGATCAGTCCAAAAGAAATGCCCCATACACACATGTGGGTAGCTCCCTAAATGTGCCAAATATAGAAGCCGTTGGCTCTGTATTGTCTAACTTAGATTCATGCTAGTTGTGTGGGTCTTGGCTGCTAATTTTTCTTTCCAAAATATTGTAGAAAAGTTCAATTCTCTGCCCTTCTAGGACTTCTGAGAAGGTTGGGGATGCTGGATATCTCTGGATGTGCTTGGGCAGGCACCCCTTGTCAGATCCCTTCAAACCTGACAAGAAAATGGCACATGTCTGATTGAGCGAGGGGATCCTCTTTAAGACTGTAGAGCAGTGTGAGCCTCTCTGATATTCAGTCTGTTGTTGGCTTGATGAACCCTGGAGATAGAAGTCCTCTCCTTATCTGCAGAACAGCAAGCTTTCCTACAGTGCACTCCCCTCCCTAGCCCCCACAAGGAAATCATGGACCATTCCATGTGTTCATATGTGTCTAAAATGTCTGTCATCCTAGGATCAGAACTGAGATCCTCACTTTATTCCCCATAGGATAAAGAACAGCTGTCCAGTTAAACTGATTTGTCCTACTCAAGTGGACTGATTTGGAGTCAGTGAAAGGTTGCTATCCCATCTTCTGTTCCCTGCCCTGGATATTGGTATCTGTATAAACAGGCCTTCTTAGCCTACATTTTATGCTGTGCACTAATTTAGTCTGAGATCACTTCCAATGGGAAATATTCCAACATGTGACTTAGGAATGTAAAATTTAGATTAATTGGCTAATTGAATAATCAATGCAATTTGCATTGACTTATCGATTGGTCAATAAGGGCACCTCTGCCTTTGAAATGTAGCAACAGCCCTAGGGCTGTTGCTACACTTCAAAGGCGAAAGCGCTGTAGAGGAGCATTTCAAAGCAGCAGCGCTGCATGGAGCCTGGGGTCCCCCAGTTGGGCCCAGGCTCCATGTGGCGCTGCCACTTTGAAACGCCACAGGGAGCTCAGCATCAGGCTCCTTGCGGTGTTTCAAAGTGGCTGTGCTGAGTGGAGCTCAGGATGAGTGGGGGAGTCCCTAGCTGACCCCGGGCTCCACAATCGCTGCTGCTTTGAAATGCTGCATGCAGCCCAGGCCAACTGGGGACTCCCAGCTGACATGGCATTTCAAAGCAGCAGACCTCGGGCTCCACTTGGCGCTGCTGCTTTGAAATGCTGCATGCAGCCTGGGCCAACTGGGGACTCCCAGCTGGCCTTGGGCTGCATGCAGCACTACTGCTTTGTCTCCCCCTTGCTGCCTCTTTCTGATAGAGGCGACTAGTTGACTATCGGATAGTCAACGACTAGTTTGCTTATCGGATAGTCAACTAGACATTCACATCCCTAATGTGACTATTTCAGAGAAAAGTTCAAGAATTGTCAACATACTTAACAGGACATACTAAATAAACTTATCGTTTGATAGAATTATTGATTTAGAATATACAAGAATGAAGTGACTGTAATGCACTAGGTGGATTGCACTAAGATGTTTATAGAGAAACCCCACCACAAAATAACACAGAGAAAAGCTATCTTAATAATTACTGAAATATGCGTTATATGTCGAATAATGATAAGACTCCAAAGGAAGGGGAAGATGTGTGAATAGTACCACATCAGCTCAAATAGGAAATCAGTGGTTAATATCTTAATGAGTTGTGAGAAAATAGAGTAAGCAGTGATCAAATTTGAAATATCTTCTTTCCCTCCTTCTACTCCTCCCCCACCAAAACCCCCCAACAAAACAGGTAAGTAGCAGACATAGGAGGACAGAACTGAAGTCGCACCGCATGATCTGATGAAACCAAGGAAGACCTGCATGTAATGTGATGAAATTCAGTATCACAACAAGCATGAAGTCCCATGGAAGTGCAGCTACCCAGCAGGAGACTGCCACCTTATCTCAAGCAAATTCAAAATATGCCACACAATTCTGGTGTGAAGAAAGCTGATACCCTTCTCCATGATGAATAGCCCCGTAAGTGGACTTCAATAAGAGATGCAGACCTGGTCTCCAGTATGCAGTCACAAGGCAGGAAAAAGGGGTCCAAGGATCAAAGAAAGAGAAAGCCCTAAACATGAAATCCAAGGTAGATAATGCTGCTGGGAGAAGGTAAAATAGCTGCAGTCTCTGAATCCCATTAGGGTGATGGTATAAATCAAGAAAGGAGATTGATCCTGCCCATGTACAGATGATAAGACAAGCTAAAACAGTGTTCAGAGAACACCAGTCAGTGCTGAGGGTGACTCAAAAAATTTTGGATGTATTTCTTGCTCTTAGCTTCAAACTGTCTGTAGCAGTATGCCTCTTCCAAACATACCCACAGTGAGATCAATTCTGAGTTGCACCCAACTGCAGGCCAAGCTGGATCCAAATGTCAAGCAGAGACATGAAAGGGCTTTTTAACCCCTCAGCCATCTCCTGAACATCCGTCACCTCTGTTCCTGTAAACTGAAGATGATTCAAGCTTGCTTGAACTTATATATCAAGAGGGCAAAGATGTCTTGTATTTGCTTGCAGCTATTTGCCATGGCCATGTGATCTCCTGAGCCAAGTTGGGTCGGGCTTAGCCTGTTCTCTAATAGAAGTCTCCAAGGAAGTGCCTGAGTAGAGCATGAAGTAGTGTCAGTTGCAGGTTTACTCCTGTCATTTTTGAACTAACGCTCCAAACAAAACAGAACACAGACCTCTCCTGTTGTTTTCTAGCCTGTCAGCCTTGTGAAAGGGCACCAGCCTGAGCCAGAGGCTCATGTATCAGCCAGTGACTTGTTTGAGCAAGCCTGTAATCCCAAACAAACATGCAGAAAAGACATGAGCTGTTTTATTTGAGTTCTCACAACCAGCAGCAGCCTAAAATCCAAAATCAATATGTAGGCAAATACAAAATGCCTTCACTTTGTTAAATATAATTTGTCTCGTACTTCCAGAATCTTATCTTCAGCTGATCTCCTACTCTGGAAGCCAAAGGTGTTTTTGCTTGCTCCCCGATAGGGTGTCTAAACACATGGGAGATATTTCTTGAGCCCTCTAGCTAACAGGGCTGAAGAAATTTCTTCTGCTCAGACCACTCAAAGCCTCCATTGATTTGAATACTTATTCCTCCTTTAGAGGAACAACTTTTCAAGCTACTCTTTATAGCAGTGGTCCCCAACCATTTGGCGCTGCTGGGCACCCGGGGCCGGGGCCACTCGCCCGCCCAGGGCGCCACACGCCC